ATGTATTGAGATGTTTGGAAGTGGGCAGTTGCTAGCTTTGGTTAGTTGCTGAAGGATACCAAAGAGAGGTTTTTATTACTTTCTTGGCATTTTCCTTACTGTGCCAAGATTGCAGCTGAAGCTCCGGCCATCAGATATGTGTTCCAGATTGGGAGAAAGAGACCAATATGTCTTATGAACACAAACAGAAAGATAATAAACCATATCCTTCATCATGCCCAAATAGGGTCTTCCCCAAGAAATGCAAAGATAAATGAATATTGTCAGGGTTATGGATTGCAATGGGGATGTAACCTGGTCTGGAAGAAAGAGAATAAACAAGATTCAAGGGCCTAAGGTCCCTGAGAGACTGTGTGGGGCAGAGCTGCCCCATCAACCTGGACCCCTCAGCTCAGACTTCAGTGAACAAAGAAAAATCTTCACTCTTCCGTAAACCACCACATTATTGCTGGCCTCTTTGTTGAAGGTGCCAAGAGCTGCCCTACATCAGCATCCGTCCTGGGTGATGGGGCAAGGCTGCCCATGCAGCATTAGTTTCCAAATCCCTGCAAGGCACCTGAATGTGACTAAGGACCAGGAAAAAAGTGGTAGTCGCTCAGTCATGTCTGATTCTTTGAGACCCCATGGACTGTAGCCCACCAGGCTCCTCTGTCCATGGAATTCTCCAGGCAAGAATACTAGAGTGGGTTGCCATTTCCTTCTGCAGGGGATCTTCCAGACCCATGGATTGAACCCAGGTCTCCCACATTGCAGGCAGATTTTTTACCATTTAACTGTGCTATATCCGTGCTGTGCAATGCTCAGCTGTAGTTAAAACCTTTCCCAGAGACACTTAGTTATATGAAGAGAGCAAGTTACAGAATAATCATATAGTATGAGAAACTCTCCCAAACATATATATGTACCTTTATGCATGCAGATGTGCAGAAAATGTCAGGAAGAATACTTTGGGGCCTAGAGAGGGGCTAAAAATATGTCTGCTTTATCCCTACTTAATATTTTTAAATGAAATTATATCCATTTTTGATTGTGTCATTAAAAATAAATGTAACAGGATATTAAACAGAATGTTTGTACATTTAAAAATAATGGTAAACAGAATAATAATGTCATCTAGTGGGTTGGTATATCAGGACAGCATTCATTGCATTGAGTAAAAGAACTTTAAGAATGAAATTTAGTATTCAGTTGTTTGATTCCATTTAGGTCATAAATGTTTTCAGAAAAAGTCCTATGGGGAATTTTCATTTTGTAAGATTTTCCAGAAGGAAAATCTCCAAAGTTATATATAACCATGTCTGATTCTGAAATAATAAAGAATTTGAATGTGTGAAATAAAGAATTGAGTTTTAGAGAAAAACGAGACTCTCAAGACAAACTAGACTTTTAAAAAATGCTTAAAGTGCTAAAGAAAATTTAAAGGAAATCTTGTCACACGAAGTGCTACAGAGGCCGAAGGTTCTCGGTGACTGAAGACAATGGGCTTTTGAGATTTGACCGAACTGTTAATCCTAAATACAAATTTCCTTCTGGAGAATATGCTACTGAAATCTTTGTTCTCAAATTCTTGCAAAACATTAGAGGTCATGCTGAGGCCAGCGTAAAGCAGGCAAATGTGCAGCACAGGGACCCAATGAATCAGTCACAGGCAACTGAGAAGCATGGTTCCTAGAAGTTGTAGGATGAAAGTGGATCACAAAATTATAATAATAGTTACACTTGGAGAAAATTTCAGAATGACTGAATCTCAGAAGTTCATTCCCTGACAGTGAGACATGGGGTTTGGCCTTGGCCATCTTCTGTGCCCTTCTGTCAGGCTTGGTGTTGTGAGACTTTTTGAGGTTCAAGGTCAAGAGTCCCCATCCCACACAATTCAGCATATCCCATTCAGCTTTCCAGAGTGCAGGTGGCTCCTGGTCTGGGTCAGGGGGTGGAGGCTTCTGAGTCAAGGTCAAGGCTGCCTGCGTTCTCATCCCCCAGGCCCTGCCACTCACCCGCTATTTCCCACTGGACTTTGAAGTGGCTGTTCTGGAACAATGAGAGGCCTGGGATGAAGCTGAGCCTGAGCAGGTTTCATGGCCCATGACATGGCTGGGGTCTGGACCCCACCCTTCTGCCCTCACCCCTACCCAGCTCCCTGGGGCCCTCCCCACCCTCCCCCAACTTTTGGAGAGTTCTGGGCTGCACCTTCCTGTGTCTCCCAGTCTGTAAAATCAGCCCCCAGCTTGGAGGTGGGTGCAGGCCCGGGGATGGGGAATGAGGGTCTCCCTGTGCCCCAGCTCCACAGGACTGGTCTGATAGCCAGTGTCAGCCTCCTGTCCCCACCTGCACGTGCTGCAGAATCCTCTGAGCACACCAGTGCCTCAGCTCCACGGAGATGCCCGCCGACTTCTCGTCCACCAGGTTGAGCAGAGTCATGGGCACTGCGATGGACTCCCAGGCTAGGCTGAGCCAGAGTGGTCTTTGGGATGTAAAATCAACAGGACCAGAGGATGGAGGGAGGGGGATTTGTTTGCTAATCTTATACTGTGTTTGGCTCTGTAGTTTGTTTTGTTTTGTTGTTTTAAAGTGAAGTGTAACCGGATTCTATTAAACTGCCCAAATCCCAGGAGCCGAACTTGGTGAACACAGGTCCCACTTGTGGTGACATTTTGGTTATACGTCTGGCTTGCTCTGGTGCTCTGCCCCTGGGGGCAGGAATTGCATCATCTCTTTTGGAGCTTGGCAAACAGAAGGTGCTCAATAAGTGCTTGTTGAATGAAGTTCAGGAAAGGGGTGAGGGGTGAGGGAGTACAGGGTTTTCTCCACTGTCCTGTCTGAAAACTTTGGGGGCCATTTTTTATTATATATTTTAAAATATCTGAATTAAAGCAATAATATGTGCTCAGTGGTTACAAGGTCAAACAGCTCACCAATGGGTAAATCAAACTCACAAATGCACAAACTCAAGCAAAGCCCAAGTCCCCTCACATCCATTAATGGTGGGCAGGGCACTCTTGCCCACATGCATCTCTCCTTTCTCCCATCACCAATGTGAAGGCTTCTGCCCAGTCCTGCTAGGCCACTTCAGACTCATATCAATGATGCCCTTCAATGTGAGGCTAGTGGCAGCCCAGCCGTCTCTTTTGAATGAAATGTGTTTTTAGCACAGAGCTCTGATCACGACCTGGGCCATCAGGGCTGGCACCCAGCAGATGCTTCGCCTCTCTTGGAGGAACTGGTGAGGGTGGATCTTGAAACAGCTCTGGAAGCATCAGGCTAGTGGGCTAGGAGACTCTTGGGACTAGTCTGCATTTTAGCAGAAGCACTTCCTATCTACTTACACACTTGCTATGGACTGAAAACACTTGCTATGGACTGAAGGTCTGTGTCTCTTCCAAGCACTCCCTTTCTACTTACACAATTGCTATTGACTGAAGGTCTGTGTCTCCTCCAAATTCATACACTGAAATCCTAACCCTCAATGAGATGGGATCAATAGGTGGGGCCTTTAAAGGGCTTCTAGGCCAGGAAGGTGGAGTCCTCATGAATGGAATTAGTGACCTTATAAAAGAGACTGAGAAAGCTCCCCCACTGTTTCCAACATGGGAGGACACAGCCACATATGCATGAGAAAGCAGGTCCTCACTGGATACTAGCTCTGCCAGCCATGATTTGGACTTCTCATGCTCCAGAACTGTGAGCAATCAACGTCAGTTGTTGAGAGGCCACCTAGTTCATGGTATTTTTTATTACAGCAGCCTGAATGGACTAAGACAATGCCAGTGTCCCCTCTCAGGTGGTATGTGAGCTGGCCAGAAGTGGGCTGGGACAGAGGGCCATGGGTGGGTGCCTCCTTAGCAATGAGGAAGGCTCAGATGCTGGCCCATGAGGTGGGGGTCTGGGGTCAGTGAACTCTCAGGTAAGACTTCTGGGAGGACTGAGAGGAGGGTGGTGTTGAGAGAAGCTCCAGGGCTCTGGAAGGCAGGGGCACTAAGAGAGGAGCAGAGATGAACATTCTTCACCCCCTACTAAGGCCCACAGGACACCAAGAGAAAAGTCCCAGCCTGTCCCTTCTCCCCAGGCCTATTCTTAGAAAGTGGACCTGTGGCCTTGACTTTTGCACAAGGCAACTTGCCCAAACAGAGCTTGCACATGTTCGAAGGAAAAAGAGGTGAAATTCATGGTGGCAACCACATCATGATACCAGCAAAGCAAATGAGTGGTTCAAGCAAAGATGGCTGGGCTCTCGGTCGGGTGAGGCAGTATCACACCACCTGCCTGGAAGTTGCATTTGGGTAGAGTAATTGACAGGACCTGGGGGAAAGAAGACATAGGCCTTGCCTGGGAACCTCCAGGGAGACCAGGTTGGTAGGTGGAGTCACGCTCCTTTCCAAAATGCGGCTCTCTCCTATTGGGGCACATCTGTGGCCTGGAAGGGGCCAACCCATGCACTTCCTGGAGCCCATTTTTCACTTGGCCTTCCAGAATGGGGCAGCTGACTCCAAGACAGAGCTCTGTTTGTGTTTCGGAGGGTCAGGGAACCAGCAGCCTGTCCTCGTTGCCTGCCTTTTCTCAGGCAACAGACACTACAGAGGGGGCCAGCCACGGACCACCAAGAAGACTGACCTCCCCCCTCCCGCTCCTACACAGCCCACAGAGGCTGGACAATTCTTAAGTCTCAGAAGCCCCTTCTGTCACCCCATTTCTGGTTCCTAGGGGGAGAAGCTAAGGGGAAAGCTGGTCTTCCACTTACACCTGGAATTTAGACCCAAGGGAGAGCCTCAGCTGTGGTGGATGGAGGCACCCGGCTGAATGACAGGGCCCTTCTACCAAGGGACAGCTCGAACTTCCAGGAAGACCAACTTTCTGTCTCCAGGGATCCCTCTTTCTCCTCTAGGCATCCAGCAAGTAGTTGCAGGGCATGGGGGGAGGAAAGACAAGGGCTGGAGTCCAGAATGTGGAGAAAAAGGGAAGAACTGATAAATCAAGCTTTGACAAAATAAGTCAAGGACAACCAATGCCATTTAACATATATTTATTGAAATCTACTCGATGCAAGGCACTGTGCTAGATCTGGAAGGGGAATCAGATAAGAAGGGCCACCCCTGTCTTCTAAGAGCTCACAATCTAACAGGTTGGGGAAGGTGGGGAGAGCAAAGCGCTAGTGCAAGGCTGATTATAGTAACTGCTGTAAAACAGACAAGTTAAGGAAACCGGGGAGGAATGAGAAAAGAAAGCCAACAACCAAAACATGAACTGGGGCAGAGAATAACTGTTCTCAGTTCTGCAAGTAACACTGAAGGCCATGTTTGTTTAAAGAGACCATTTCTACTTTTGAAAATAACCACCCAAACAGATGCAATAAGAACTACACATTGTAAGTATACTAGCTATCCAGAAGTTATCAGTTTCCCAATCCCCAATCTGATAGCTGGGAAGTAGCTAGACACTTCCAAAATCAAGAATAGGGTGAGCAGTGACTTAACTCATTTCCTGGGGCAAACATGGGGTCAGGAAAGTAACAATGCCCAGACAGAAAAATCACTGGTCAAACTCACCGAGACTGGGAGGCATAGATTTGTATCCATGTTAGCAAACAGAATACCACATTAAAAAGAGGTGTTTAGAACAGTCAGGTGGGGCTTGGTCTGGGGACAAGGGCTGGGTAGGACATGAGGAAAGTCAACCATGTGATTCTTCTCAGGAAGTGGACAAATGGGGAAATGCAATTGCTCTTGACAGACTGTAAAAAGCAGAGGCCCACTTAAGCTGGCTCAGGTCAAGGGGGTCTACGGCAGGGACACAAGTGGACCAGGGCAGTTGCCAGAGATCCCAGAAGGGAACTGCCAGGCTCCCTTGTGGTGCTGGGGTCAAGGCTCTCTAAGGGTGCCCAGCAGGAGTCCATAGATCTTCAAGCTGGTGCTGCCCATCAGGGCAACTCCCCTAAATCCCAGGTGGCTCCCTCTTCCTTCCAGCACCAACTAGAAACTTCTCTGTTTTCTTATTTACACTTCACAGAGAACCCTAAAGATCTGGTCCATGTCTCCAGCTCTGTCGACCAGTTACTGCCCGTGAGTCAAGTGTTCAGTTCTGGTTGAATGAACATGACCTTGATGGGGTGGGGTTCACATAGCAGACAACAGGGCACAGCCCCAGGCATGTGGAATGCAACCCCATGCAAGAGAGATGCCCACCAGGACAGGGTGGGGCTCATTTTGGAAGCTGGAGAGTGGGTAAGACACAACCAATCTACACAGTTCATCTTATTAAGCAGCAGAAGTGGTAAACGGTTACTTTCTTCTGAAAATTTCAGCAAGTATTCAAAACTTTAATAAAAGTGATGGGAGGTTTTCTTCAGAATATAAGGACCCATTTTGAAGGACAGCTGGCATTCTACATAACCAACCTGCTCTCCATTTGCCTTGCAAAAGGAATACGTGTGATTAGAAAGAAGAATGAAATGAGGTAGATACATAAATGCATAGACAAGCACACATGACAGCAAGTCTGATCACATTTTGCATCTGATGTAGCAGTAGACCTAGAGAGTCCAAGGAAATTCACCCCCTCCCCCAGGGACCCGAGGCAAACACTGAACTCGGTGTGACTACAGGACACACGTTAAAGCCACAGAGAGAGCATGGACTTCACCCACAAACACAGTGACAGAAAAGATGTGTTCACTCCGGCGGACGGTCTGTTCAAGAGAAAATCATAGAACTGAGAATGGAACAAAGGAAAGGAGGGCATGACAAGGTGCCAAGGTGCCAAGGTGCTGGGTCCTGGCTGGGGATAAGTGGAGCGGTGTCGACGATGCTAAGTTATGAGTTAATACTGCATCTGGATCCTTCCTAAAACCCAGGCAAGATATGGCAGGCCACTTCCAGGTTGTGATGCCAGACTTGGCCGCATGGACGCCAACATTCATTACCAAATGACAGCTGCAGCAAATATATCATTAACAGCTTGAAAAGAGAAAACTGATGAGACAGGAAGTAGTGATTTCAGACATAGATTTACAACTATTGCAAGAACTGAGGCCCCCGAGCAGAAAGAATTGCTATGTAACAAGATCTGTCAGCTTCTCTCCAGCCTGGGGGTCAGGATGGAGATGTCGCAGAGAGCCACTGGTGTGACCTGGGGGGGCCAATCCAGAGTACCTCCGGCTAAGGTCACAAGGGTCACTGTGGGACCCTGTTTCCCAGCCCCGGTGGGCCTGTCAGAAGGGTGCCCTTCCTTGGCAGGCTCTCAAGTTCCCCCTCTACCCCGGGCACAGCTGCTGAGAAGTCACGCTACAGGGGCCAGGTTCTTGGCTAGCCCTTGCTGCTGTTCTTCCTGGGGGAGGCTGCTGAAAGTGAGAGCCCAGTCCCAGGATGACCAATTTCTATATCTGTGCCACACGGGCTGTCATCAGAAGGGCATCATTGCCCTCCAAACCCTTGTTTTAACTGCCCCTCTTGGGAAAGGCTGTGGCAAGTCACAGCCCAGGCCTGGTGTGGCCATCAGAGGGGCAGGGTTGTCTTCAAGCCTTTGTTCTGTCACCCCCTCACAGATGTGGACACAGGAGGTGACATCAGAACACACTGGTGAATTTCCTCCTAGTCACCAAAAGTGGAAGCCACCAAACTGCTGACCGCTTTCTAGTTCCAGAATCACTCTCTAGCAAGAGGATACCATCCACGTGACAGCCATCAGTCAGTTGAGTCTTCGTGTTTGAGATGTCTGTTGAGTGGATCTGCTGCTCAGGCACTGAATCCACACCGATCCATGGCCAAGGCTCCCAGGAGCTGGAAGTTTGGCCAGCTGCTGCCAAGACCAAGTTTGGACCGCCCCATTGATCCTGACCCATAAGTGAGGTCCTGCCCCACTGCTGAAGGCCAGGGCTATGCTGAGGAACAGTCAAGAGTGTTCTGGCTAATCCAAGATGGAAATTCCTCTTGAGTGCCTGGGTGGCCAGGTTGGAAAGTCAAGTACTGCCCACAGACGTGCAGAGTCTTCATCTTGGATGAGGAGTGAGCCTGCATCTCTGGCCCAATTCCATCCAGCCTGCCCACCTGAGCATTCACCTTCTGGTGGGGCAGGACTTTCAACTTTTCATTTGTAATTCAATATCTAGAAGAAAATGTCATCATCTCTAACTACTGAAGCAATGGAAGTTACGATTTAACTGACAACAATGAACGCTTGGATATGTAAAAATCAAAAGCTTGCACAACATAAATGTAATAAAACTGCTACAAAGAGCAAATCAATAAAACTGGCAAAGAGATCATCACAATTGATATAGAAAGAACTGCTGTATAAAGTCAATATATCCAAAGGTAACTTGATAACTGGTCAAAGGAGATGAACATACGATCTGCATGCGAGGAAACAGAAACAGTATTTTAAGCCATCATGTGAGAGAAAGAAGTTGAGACCAGGAGTCAGGAGCCTGGGTTCATCCCCAGTTCAGATACCAGTGAGTCACAGAACAGCAATAACCATGGAGGTGATGGCAGATGACTTCACTGAGTGTGTACCTCTGTGCCAGGTGAGGCATCATGGTCCTTGCGATAACCTTAGGAGGTAGTCCTGTGATCATCCTCGTTTTACAGAAGTGGAAATGGAGGATTGGAGAAGTACCATCTAGGCCCCATATCAGGAGAGGCTATTGTTCCCCTGAAGGAGGCATCACCTTATGCTTAAGTCCTTGGGATATTATTGTTATCATGGTGATTGTCTCTCAAAAACTTGACTTCGAATAGTCCTGCTTGGGGATGAGACCCATTAGCCTGAAATAAACTCCAGTTGATGCTAGTTTTGGATATGCATGGGAGTCACCAGGTTGAATCGGTTTAAGAAAAAAGGACACAAAAGAAATGTAACTCAGATTCAGTACTTCTTAAGAGTATGTGCTCACAATGACAAGTTTTTAATGCTTTAAAAAAGCCTTTTAAAGGTCATTTAAAAAAAGGAACACCTTATGTGGGTGCATTGTAGAACTATAAGACAAATTAAAAAAGGACAACCATCATTCTAATGTTACATGAACAGGTACTTATGGCTTGTAGGAGGCGATTTCTAGTGAGAGCCTTGTGCAGGGATTGTCACAGTGCTACGTGGCACACAGCTCAGATAGATGGAAGCCACTGGATGGGCTTTAAAAATGATGACTACAGGGGGCTCTGAGGTTGGTGAAGACGGTGCGGTTAGAAATGCATAGGAGGAATTAGGATAAAATGATCTCATGGAGCAGAGTCAGGCAAGAAAGGAATATTTTCTAAATTAATATATTATTATATATAATGTGATTTATAATAGGTATGCATAACTAAATTAATAAATTAAATATTATAAGACATTTGATTATTCTATTTACAACCCTAAAAATTTATAAATTCAAGTAGGCCAAAAACTTTGGGGTGATCGCTCTGTTAGGGAAAGTTGGGATTCACAATCTACCGACACCATCGTTGAATAGCTCTGGGTCTCCGTTTCCCTGAAGGGGGAGCTTGGAGGAGAACAAGCATCTCCATTCAGTTCCACCTCCCACATCCAGATTTCTCTTCTCTCATTCTCCAATTCAAGGCCTGTGGGTTTAAATACCTTGAAGGTACTTGAGGCCAGTTGAACCAGCCAAAATCAATCAAAATGGTAAAACTACTCTAGATAGGCAAAATGGGAAACACAGACACTTATAAATTGCTGGTGGTAGTATAAATTGATTTCAACCTTTCTTGAAGAGAAAATATATAAGCACTACAAAACTGTTCATCTCCTTTGACTCTGCCCTCCCCCTCTAGGGATCTGGCCCCGGTGGGAATCCGCTGCCAGCCGTGGGGCTGCGAGCCTCGCTTACTCGTGGTGGGTTGGCTGATGTTTCTGCAGCGCTGACCGCCTCTTGAACACGCGGCCACACTCGCTGCACTCGCAGCGTCTTGCTCCGCTGTGGGTCCTCCGATGGCGACTCAGGCCAGAGCTCCGGCGGAAGGCCTTCCCGCATTTGTCGCATTCATAGGGTTTCAGTCCGCTGTGGATGCGCCGGTGTTTGATCAGGTCGGAAGGCCCCCGGAAGGCCTTGCCACAGTCGCCGCAGGCGTAGGGACGCTCCCCGGTATGGATGCGCTGGTGCTCCAGGAGGCTGGAGCTCTGCCGGAAGGCCTTGCCGCACTGGCCGCACTCGTATGGCTTCTCGCCAGTGTGGATCCGCCGATGCTTGGTGAGCTCCGAGCTCCTCCGGAAGAGCTTGCCACAGTGGGGGCAGCCGTAGGGCTTGGCTCCGCTGTGGATGCGCTGGTGCTCGGCCAGGCCATTGACTCCTCGGAAGGACTTGCCGCAGTCGTCGCAGTCGAAGGGCAGGTGGCCGGTGTGTATCCGCTGGTGCTTGAGAAGTTCCTGGCGATCCAGGAAATCCCTGCTACACGTCTTACAGGCAAAGGGCTTCTCCGTAGTGTGCAGCTTCTGATGGCGGAAGAGGTGTGTATTGACCTTGAAGGAGCGGCCGCATTCCTCACAGTCAAAGGGCTTCTCTCGGCTGTGGACGCGCAGATGCTGACTGAGGCCTGCATTCTTCTTGAACCTTTTCCCGCATTCTTCACACTCGAAGGGTTTCGCCTCCTTCTCCATTTGCTCCCTCTTCTCCACGGCCCCGTCGAGGACCCAGCTGGGGCCCGGCTGGGGCTCTGCAGCTACGTGGCTCTTCCTGTGCTCATTTAACTCAGCCACCCCACAAAAGACCTGCCCGCAATCACCGCACTCCCAGCCCTTCTTCTCACAGTGAATTCGCTGGTGCTGTACCAGAAGGACCTTAAGCCGAAAGGCATCCCCACACTCTTTACATGCAAAGTGATGCTCTACAGGCAAATTCTGGGGGCTTCCTCCCTTCCCCCCGGAGTCCCCATTCTGTTTGACCTCAGGGCTGGGCTCACTGGCCCTAGGGGAGCTTGTGGAGGCCATCTCCTGTGACTGTGCGTCTTCATCCATCATTGGCTGTTGGGTTGCCCAGATGCTTTCTGAAATGAAAACCACAAGACACTGTAGTCTAAAGAGGAGGAAGGAACAATCACAGCAAAACGAGTGAGTATCAACAATCACTTTGCTCCTGAGACAGCTGCTGACCACTTGGCAGGAGGTCACCAACCAGAAATAAGAACAGTAGATGGAAAGGACATAAGGGCCTGGTTGCTGGAAGCTCCCTCTCAAGGTGACTGAGGATCAAGCCATACCCCAAACATGTGGCTTCCTCCCCAAAGGTTCAGCTGGGCCTCCCCCATGATGCCCTGACATTTCTTCAAATTTTTTACTCACCTGAATGTTTAGCTCAATCCACGTTAGGGGATGGCTCTGACTTGCTCCAGGTGAGAGACCAAGGTGAGGGTCAAAACAGGAACTCCTTCTTGTGGAAAAAGAAACAGGCAGTAGCAGCAGCCAGAGATGACATCAGGTTGGGGCCTTTGAAGGGGAACCTTTCAATCCTCAAGGGCTGGAGTGGCTGTTCCCTTAGGCAAGTCATTCATTCATATCAAATGTCTTTCCCAATGGTCAGCTCCTTCCAGGGGCTGGATGAAGCAAGCTCTGGGTCTATCCACATAGAGCACCAGGTCATCTTCCTGAGGGGTGGATCCTCCCTTTCCCCTGTCCACTGTCCTCAAGCTCTGCACACTGAACTTGGGGTCCTTCCATAACTATCAAAGCTGACCCCTGGCAGTCTCTCCTCCTAAGAAGCCTCCCCCCCTCACACATGCAGCCCCTCGTGGTACAAAGGAACTTGCCATGTCAGCCTCTCTCAATAGTAAACTACAATAAAGTTCCCATAAAATTTACATAATTTGTGGGTTAAAAAAGTATTTCATTATGGTGGCCAGTTTGTTCTAACTTCTTTCTAAGCCATTATGAGTTTGGAGGGACACCCGTTACTTTGACGGGTCGTGTGTAGCAGACCCTCTGTATTTCCTTACAGCCCATTCCCAGGGAGCATAAGCTGGAAGTTGGGCTTGTGTGGGGCTATGTCAGGTGCCCCCTTATCCCACTCCCAGCTCTGTAGGACCATGAAGCTGGTGGCAAATCTTGTGAAAGGGCTGGGGTCATCCTTACCCACAGATATCACGTTTCTTCAATATGCTGAGGTCCTCTGCTTAGGGTCCAGCCTCAATCACTCCCTTTGATGAGGTATTGTGCCACATTACCAAACGTCACCGAATCCTGAAAGAATTCCCAGGAACAATCTGTCTTTCCATCCATTCTAGAATGAGGCAAGGGCAGTGCCAGTAACCCCAGGGATGAGAGGTGAGAGTCTAGAGTGAGTATACATGCGAACATGGAAATCTAAGTATAAGCCTCAAGAAGTCCTAGAAAGAGAACCTGGCCACGTGCCAGGAGACCTGGGCTATGGCCCCGGCTCCCATTGTCTTCCCAAGGGATGTTAGCTCAATCACTTTCCTGTACTGAAACTCAGCTCCCCAATCGGGATGATGGAAATTATAAACCCAACAGGTATCCATTCCTTGGCAGACTCCGGGGAGAGAAGCAGAAAGAGGGAAGAAAGATAGCAGCTGGGGTTCAGGCCCTGTTGTGTGTTATGCTGGGGCAAGAGGCAGAGATGAACACTAGAATCAGGAAGCAGTGACAGGTTCCCAAGCTAGGCTGAGGGAGGCACAGCTCATCTGAGCCTCAAGCTCTCCAAGGGGGCACTGCCAGGACTTGGTTTCCCAGAAATGGTAAGGAGTTGGACAGGACTTGACTTCTTGGGTAAGGGCCAGACCTTGGGGATCAGGGAGAGCTAATGAAAGTGGAAAGAGCCGCGAGCGACAGCAGCTCTGCCTCTGGGTCCCATGGGATGAGACTGGTGATTTCCTTTTCACTTGTTTTAAATCTTCTTGAGTCTTCCCTTGCACAGAGGTTGACTGACAAGCTAGAGCATGGACATACCTAAGAAAACGTATCCCAAACAGGGGGGAAACTGGACTGGCAGAGAACTGATACAGGCAGCCCAGAGAGAATCCAGACAAGACAAATGAATGTTAGCCCAGGCACAGAGAGAAGACAAACTCAGATTGAAAGCCAGTGGCAGGAATATTGGCTCTCAGAGACAGGTTGGCCATAGGCCTCCTAGCAATAGGCCTTGGAGAGTTTCATGCTCACACTGCACAGGAAGGCAGTGTTCCCCAAAAGAACATCAGAAGAAATAACTGGGAAGTGAGAGATCCTTTTCAACTTTGTAGGGGCAACAAAAAAACAGAGGCTACTAAAGGGAAGGGAACAGGAGTCAGGGCTTCCTGACTAGCAGTAAGGCCCTCAAAAGTCCATACTCCACCACACTGAAACAATTCATCAGGTGACAGCTTGCAGACAAGAACATTTCTGTGATATATTTGACAAAATGAAAAGTTGAACAATAGCTGGAAAAAGACACCTCAAAAAAAAAATCTTCAAATACTAAGTTGCTAAATAAAGGATCTGAACCACATGTGCAAGTTGCCTTTTTCTTTCAGATCCCACCACAGGTGTGTCTGCATCACAGACCGCCCACTTCAGTGAGTTCACAGAAACAAGAACCCAGTTTCTGTTCTGCTATCAAGTCAATTTGGTTCATAGTTAAATGAAAATAAAGCATTTTTACACTAGCTCAAGGAGTACAGAACCCAGATACTTCAGAAATACTTTTTCATAAAATTAGATGTTATATTAAAAGGGATGGACAGAGACTTCCACTTTTGGCCATGATGGAATAAAAAGGAACAGATTTAATGTCTTGTCATAAATAAATACAAAACTGGACAAAATAGAAGTGAATCAACAGTTTTAAGTATTGGACAGCAGGCAGCACTGGATGATGATCTTTGAGAGAAGAGAAACAAATAATGTAAGCTTTATCAGTGTCCCAGATATCTTCCGGAGGCAATTTCCAGACTTAGATTATCGGGAAAGGGGGACCAAACAGAGCTCGGTGGCTTTATTATCAACACAGACCAGCATTCAGGGAAGCTGAGGCAAAGCAGAATTTCAGAAATGAGGGAGCTATGCAGAAAAAAGAGCTCAAATAAATCTTCACAAGATTCCCCTTGAGTCTTTTTTGACCACTAAGCCATGCATGCATACAATAAAACTCACAAAGACTAGGAAAACAATGACCAGGAAGTTGTAAGTTGAATAATTCCTAAGACACACAAAGGTAGGGAGATATTCAGGGTCCAACCAACCAGAGTATAGCGTTCTCAGAGATCATCTGAGGTATTCAGTAGAGAATCAGAGAGGCCATGCTTTAGTAGTAGGACTGATTTATCCCTGGAGCCAGAGTGACCCTGATCTGCTCTAGAAAAACATAAAAATAGGCCTTGAAGGGATGAAAATATTCCACAAGCAACTACTTTCAAAAACAAAGTCTAACTCTTTTCACAGTGAAACAACAAAATTCAGACATTTAACAACATAATCTCTACAATGTTCAACATCCAATAAATAATTAAGTAAATGCCAAGAAGCAGGGAAAAAATGTGACTCATGGAAAGGAAAATAATAACAGAAACACCCAGAAATGATCACTGACAGACAAGGATAACAGCTAGTTTAACAATGTAAAACTATTTAAAGAAAAACAGGAACATAATGAAAGAAATGGATGATAAAAACAAAAACTGAATGGGACTTATTGAGGTGAAAATTGTAACATTTAAAATGAAAGTTTCACTGGATGTGCTTAACAGCAGATTAGATACAGCCTTCTCCCCACAAAAGATTAGAAAATCTGAAGACTTAGCAATAAAAATGATCCCAAATGAAGATCAGACAGAAAAAAAATATTTAACAGAGTTTCAGTGACTTGGGGATAACAGAAAGTGGTCTAACACACATGTAATTGGAATCTGAGAAGATGAGGAAAAATGGGGGGTGGGATAAAAGTATAATTGAAGAAATAATGGTTAAAATTTATTATTTTCTAAATTGGATAAAACCTAGGTCCAAGAAGCCCAATCACCCCTTAGCAAGACTAAACAAACACACAAAAAACAAAACCAGAAAAAACCCCACAAATGTACTAAGACACAACATAATCATATTGATGAAAACTAGTGATAAAGAAAAAAATCTTAAAGCAGCCAGAGAATAAAAGATGTAGTATACAAAGGAGCAAAGATAATAATAACTGCTGACTTCTTATCAGAAAATGTGCAAGCCAGAAAACGACTGCATGACATTTTTAAAGTGCTCAAGGGGAAAAAACATGTCAACCAAGAATTCGATATTTAGGGAAAGTATCCTTCAAAAATGAAGGCAAAAAAGAAACTTTTTTAGACAAAGAAAAGCTGAAAGAATCTGTCACCAGCAGAACCACACAATAAGACATATTTAAGAAAGTTCTTCAGGTGAAGGGAAATGGTACCAGATGGAAACTTGGATCACAAAGGAATGAAGAACACCAGGAATGTAAATATGTGCTGAAACATAGAACACTTTTACATCTTTAAGAGAAAGCTGAACATTTAGAGAAAAAAATAGTAAGGCAGTATGGGGTTTATAGGGCTTCCCTGGTGGCTCAGTGGTAAACAATCCACCTGCTAAAGCAGGAGACGCAGGTTCGATCCTTGGATTGGGAGGATTCCCCTGGATAAGGAAATGGCAATTCACTCCAGTATTCTTGCCTGGGAAATCCCATGGACAGAGGAGTCTGGTGGGCTAAATCTATGGGGTTGCAAAAGAGTTGGACACAACTTAGCAACTAAACAAAACCAACAATTGGGGTTTATAACATATATAGAAATAAAATGTAAGACTGTGTGCTTTAGGAAGCCCTCCAAGCCTCTGATGCATGGCAATAGTGGAGATAGAATACAATTCTAAAAAAATAATCCAAAAGTAGGTTAAAAAAACAAATGAAAATGAACAGTTAGGGCAAGCAGAAACAAACAGCAAGAGGCAAATGAAAACACAACCATATGGATAGTTAAGTTAAATATAAATGGACTAAACACACCAGTTAATTTGCAGAGATTATCAGATTGTATTTTTTTAAAAAACTCAATTATGTGCTGTCTACAAGAAATTTTCAAGTTAAAGACTTTAAATGTAAAGAGAGAGATAGGTTAAAAGTAAAAGGATGGAAAACAATACACCAACAGGAAGAGTGTCAGTAATCCCAATGTCATAAACACAAGAGGAAGACCTTCCTGAAGAATCCTAGAACTCAGAGCAGGAAGAAAACTGGTGAGCTCAAGCATAAAATCAATAGGTTGTAAAGGACAAGAAAAAAAAAAAAGACATAGGACAAAAGATAAATAAGTATATGAAAAGGAAAAAAAAAACCCAACAGGTGGCCAATACAGCATGATACACAGCAGATTACAAAAATTTGAATCCTCCTTCAAATAAGATTATAGACAGACAGTAACTGTTTATTAAAAAATTACAGATTGTAGAGGAAGGGGAAAGAACAGGATATATTTGCATTTTAAGGAAAAAAAGGAATAAACTGAGAGTAACTCACAGCTAATGAGCACATCTAGACTGCAATGTGCACCACCCTGGGGTAGAGTCCAGGTCTAGAAAGGTCTTTAGCTTTCTGTTTCTGTAATGAATGTTTAGTAACCAAGCTGCATTTCTTTAAAGTAACCAGAAAGGAACAACAATTTTAAAAGATTTCAGTAGACTTGGATAAGAAAGATGCTCAGCATGAGAGAAGACAGGGCCGAGGCCAAGAAGACAAGAGGGAATAGTCCTTGAAGCTGGGTAATGTCCTGAGGTGCCCACACAGGAAAGCCACAACAGAGGAGGGCTGGCAGGAATGCATGGGCAGTCCCAGAAAGCTTAGAGGCAGGTCCATGGGATTGTGAATTCCTGGAATCATTCCCCCAAGCTATAAGCAATATGACAGGTGTGAGGGAAAGCCTCATTTGGCCCCAAAGTCCACAGAAACTCTACTTCCATCTTTAAGTGACTCCCTAGTGTGTGAGGGAAACCCTAGGTGCCCAGCAGCCAAGCCTTCTGTAACCCACTGTCCCCTGGGCAGGGCTTCCTTCTTCCTGGTATACATCTGATATCTGGTTTGACTTTGGCTTTCAATACAAAATGAACTGGTCATCTATTATTTACACAGTTCATTCTAAAAAACTGACTTCTGATTGACATTGAGGTTTTGTTGCCAAATGGAATGAAGAGGAGAACATCTCACCTTCACCTTTCATTAGAACTGATTCAAATGAATTCTTTTTAATGGCTGAGTAATATTCCATTCACCTTCACCTTCTGAGCAAGATAGTCTGTTATGAGCTTCACCTCACCGCCCTCAGGCCAGAGACCTAAGGCCTTAACCCACTCCAAGGCCCTGGCTGAGCCCACCAGACCCATATGTCTCAGTCAGTCCTTCCAGACACTCAGCTTTCATCCCGTCCTAAATACACCAAGGCAATAATCTTTGAGAGCCTGTGAACCTGCCTCAGGTGGCTCCTTCGAAGAATTCGGGCCTCACTGAATTGCCACCTCCTACAAATGTCTTCACTCTCCAGCTCCATCATGGTTTACTTATAATACGTTTCACTACCTAAAACTTACCCCCTGAAATTGCTTTTTTTTACCTGATTCTCCCTGGGGAAATTGTCACCTCTCACAGGATAGGGCCCTTCTCTTTCTTGGCCACCCCTGAATCCCCAGCATTCAGGGGGCAGCAGCTCTTAGTGCTCAGTGGACATGTGACACCCTGTGGGGGAGGGGTGAGTTACATAACTTTCATTAACAGAGCACCTACTATGCATTTGGCACTGTGCTTCTCCCTTCACAGGCTTCCCTGGTGGTGCACTGGTAAAGAACGTGCCTGTCAATGCATGAGACGCAGGTTCAATCCCTGGGTTGGGAAGATTTCCCTGGAGGAGGAAAGGGCAACCCACTCCAGTATTCTTGCCTGGAGAATCCCACTGGACAGAGGAGCCTGGCAGGCTACAGTCCATGGGGTCGCAAAGAATAGGACATGACTGAAGTGACTGAGCATGTAGGTACTTCTCCTTTAAATGTGCAGAGAGTTGGACACAACTGAGCGACTGCCTCCATTTTACTGAGAAGGAAGAAACGGATCTGAGGGGTGAACTAAATTGCCTGAGGTCTAGCTCCCAAGATTTGAGGCATTTTGAGCCACACCAGAGAAGAGAGGGAAGTAATATGCCACAAAGTAATACCTAACACTGGGCCTTATCCAAAGGCCAGGCTACTGTGTCATCAAAGCCTAATGGTACTTATGGGTTTAGGGGACTTGCTTTCAGTCCCATGCACAACAGATACACATGTACACATGCACAACAGATACACACTCACGGTTTTTCCAAGCCACCCATGCTTAATTGAGCAGGTCCTCCTGAAAAGTTCCCATTTAATTGAGCAGATCCTACCAAAGTGTTTTCACTTAATTGGCATGAAGTCCTGGAGACACAACCCCCAAGTGAATTGCTAATTATCTTCTCCAGTGTAGCAACAGGACTGGCCCTTCCTGTACCAGGCTTTCCCAGGGGATTTAACCCAGCTGCACTTCAGATCACCACCCACAGTGACAAGAGACTATGGACACATGGGGACCGTGACAGGCAGAGGCCATTTCAAAGGTGTCCATAAAAATGGGAGGGGAAAAGTGAGCCCTACTTTCACAAAAGGAAGCTAAACTCTGCATAATGAATCAGGTATATCGGGGAAAACCTTTAAGAGATACAAAGGAAGATCATTTAAAAATGATCCACTGCAGTTAAAAATAAAATCATCATCAATCCTGAAAACAATCTGATAATTCAGAAGCCATGTCACCCAACCACTCCACTTTAAAATGGTGGAACTAATCTGGAAAAGAAGCTGGGCTCCATTACAAAGTGACACACACAGGTGTCTACTGCCTTCCAAAGGTGGACCTTGGGAGATCAAGTTCAAATCTATTCCAGGCACAATATGAAAACCATTGTCGTGTACTGGATGGATACACAGGGAGATCCTGACCTTGAAGGTGAGGCACTTTCACTCACCATGGACAAGCATATCCAAATCTTTTAAGTGCACTCCTTTGCCCAACCAGCAAAGAGAAGTCGGTAGAAAGACTGGGAAAACAAATCTTGGCCTCTTAATATAAACAATATCATCTTTCTTCTTTAAGCAGGATCTTTAGTGTAGTCTAACAACTCTATGCTCCCAGAGAATAAAGACTTTATCAGGTTGACTGTGGATTCCACCCTGGAGCTAGCCAAGTGCCACAGACTCTGCAGCTGCTTCACAGACACATTTCTGAAACATCATGCTTCCAAAAACCTGAGAGTTCATGTGAATGAATAAAGGTTCCTGATATGTGCTTTAGATGGCAATGTAAATTTTAACCAACTTATTTAAATCCCATTTTCTGTATCCAATCAGAAACACTGAAAACCAAAACAATCATTTCACCCTGATTTGAAAGAACAGAAGTTAACAGCTGAATTTAATGTAGCCAAAAGCCAACATTTGTCACAAAAGCAGGGAATACCTTAGTGTCTTCTGGTCACCTTGGAGCTTGGGACCCCTACTGAGGGTGTCTGGTTACTAGGAAAGGTCACTTCTGAGCCTAAGAGATCAGCAGTAGACTGATTTCATGGCACAAGTAGCCAGGCTACCTCCTCAGCAAGTGCCAGTCTTCCCTGGGCGATGGGAGCAGGGGAGAGGGAGCAAAGCCACGCAAACTAGAACTGGCAGCTTCCAGAAACTTCGAAGGAAGTTTGGTTCAAAGGAACCAAGAAGCACCTGGTCTCCCTGGAACATCTAGATAAGGACCGAAGCAGAATGTCCCCAGACCCTAGAAGATAACAGGTGGCTCACGGTGTTAATTTCCGTTCTGGGCCAGAGCAAAATTGCCCTGGAGGGAATCTTTATAGATCAAACAAGAGACTGCACTTTCTATCATCTAATTCAGATAGGTGCCTTCAGCTCCCTCTCCCATATCTAATCCTAAATCATCCTATTAATCACCTGGATTCCCAATTCTCCTTACTGGATATCTGTTCTCCCTTGAGTTGTGCTGCTCAGATCAAGAGAACTATATCTGGACAAAGATGGTCCAACAGCACTGGCATATATAAAAATATAAGAGCTTCCAGAACCGAAACAATACTTCTCACCACCTTGCATCCCCATGAGGTCTTCTAACAGTACGCCCAGCTTTAAGGCCAGCAGATCTGGTCTATAAACATCCAGCCTTACCCAAAAGAGACATACAGAGATGGCATCATGCCTCAGAACAATTCTGAGCGATTACTCAGGCAGGTAAAGTCCTATCTGTTGGACTAAAATAATTTGGGAAGACAGAACTTGGGGGCAACTTCTGGGAACATATCTTTTTGGGTCACAAGTGCTCAAAGGACAGGCTGTGAGACTGAATACACTGTTGAGATACCAATCCACCCAAGTCAGGCAATTCTGGGATGCCAGGGCCTGAGCTCTCAACTCATCCGGCCAGGATGTGGCTACAAT